ATCACGATTTTTTTCAAAATCGAGGTCGGTGCAAAAAGTAAACTTTTTCTATTATATTTTTATTTATATCTCGCGTAATGGCTCTGCTTGGAGATATGACGCTCCAAAACGACATAACTCCGCGGAGATATGACGTTCCAAAACGACATAACTCCGCGGAGATATGACCCTCCAAATCATCACGTTTTTTTTTCAAAATCGAGGTCGGTGCAAAAAGTAAACTTTTTCTATTATATTTTTTTTTATATCTCGCGTAATGGCTCTGCTTGGAGATATGACGCTCCAAAACGACATAACTCCGCGGAGATATGATGCTCCAAAACGACATAGCTCCGCGGAGATATGACGCTCACAAAACGACATAGCTCCGCGGAGATATGACGTTCCAAAACGACATAACTCCGCGGAGATATGACCTTCCAAATAATCACGTTTTTTTTTTTCAAAATCGAGGTCGCTGCAAAAAGTAAACTTTTTCTATTATATTTTTTTTTATATCTCGGGTAATGGCTCTGCGTGGAGATATGACGTTCCAAAACGACATAACTCCGCGGAGATATGACCTTCCAAATAATCACGTTTTTTTTTTCAAAATCGAGGTCGCTGCAAAAAGTAAACTTTTTCTATTATATTTTTTTTTATATCTCGGGTAATGGCTCTGCGTGGAGATATGACGTTCCAAGACGACATAGCTCCGCGGAGATAGGACGCTCCAAAACGACATAGCTCCGCGGAGATATGACCTTCCAAATCATCACGTTTTTTTCAAAATCGAGGTCGGTGCAAAAATGAAACTTTTTCTATTATATTTTTTTTTATATCTCGGGTAATGCCTCTGCGTGGAGATATGACGTTCCAAAACGACATAACTCCGCGGAGATATGACCTTCCAAATAATCACGTTTTTTTTTCAAAATCGAGGTCGCTGCAAAAAGTAAACTTTTTCTATTATATTTTTTTTTATATCTCGGGTAATGGCTCTGCGTGGAGATATGACGTTCCAAAACGACATAACTCCGCGGAGATATGACGCTCCAAAACGACATAGCTCCGCGGAGATACGACCTTCCAAATCATCACGTTTTTTTCAAAATCGAGGTCGGTGCAAAAATGAAACTTTTTCTATCATATTTTTTTTAATATCTCGGGTAATGGCTCTGCGTGGAGATATGACGTTCCGAAACGACATAACTCCGCGGAGATATGACGCTCACAAAACGACATAGCTCCGCGGAGATATGACGTTCCAAAACGACAGAAGTCCGCGCGGAGATATGACCTTCCAAATCATCACGATTTTTTTTCAAAATCGAGGTCGGTGCTAAAATGAAACTCTTTCTATCATAGTTATTTTAATATCTCGGGTAATGGCTCTGCGTGGAGATATGACATTCCAAAACGGCATAGCTCCGCGGAGATAGCTATGCCGTTTTGGAAGTGCTCGTCTAAGAAATATCCATTGCCAACTGTACTCTCAGGGCAGTAGACTCATATAATAAGCAATCTGAGTGCTATTCATTTTCACTCTTTCGTTAAACTATACTATTCTCTTATTTTCTTTTCTTTTATCATTATTTGCAACTCCACGTTTAAGCTGTCCATATTTTAGTCATTTTACTTAATTGGCAGCTGAGAACGAATCGAGTACAAGTCGATTTCGACCTCGAGTATTGGCTTAGAGCCCATTCTCAGCTGACTGCAGGTCCATTATTTATTTATGTATGACTCTGACACACACACATACACACACACACCCTCACATACGCCCAAGTACATTAATAAAATATCATTAGGATCTATCCTTGCCTGTCTACAGTAATTTCCTCGCAAAACTATTTCCATTGCTGAACTTGTGGCCTTCGCCTAAGGTAGTCAGTGCCAAAAACAACACCAGTGACAACTACAACATTCAAGAACATTCACAACATTTACAACATTTGCTGTGGGCTGAAATGGAGGCACATAGCACGGTTCGAACCTACGTCGGGAGCAAAACTCCTTCTCTGCTCATATCAATAGTTGGCCGCATTTAATTGCAATTTAATTTGAGTTTTCAATGAAATTTGAGCGTAAAAAAAAACTGTGCCAAAAACAACAAACCACACGCCTCCCGTTTTCTGCATACGGGAGGCGTGGCCCTTTCATGATATAAGAGAAATTTTCGTTTCGCTTTTTATTTGCTGTTTTTTTTTTAGTTTTTGCCGTGTGCATTTCGATAGTCTCGCGGCTGAAAGCTTGTTGGGCAGTTATCCTTGAAATTTGTTTGCATCACGAGGCGGGGCTGCGGGGCACTGGTGTTCATGCCCCAAGGCGTGGCATGCGGGGGCCAGCATGTTTAATATTTGATTATGTGAATGCGGGGCTGCAATATGGCAACTGCTTGTCAATGGCAAATACCAAATGTCGTATGTTTGTTTTTGAAGATGTGTGTGTGTGTGTGTGTGTGTGTGTGTGTGTGTGTTTGTGAATTCGAGCAGCAGTTATTAGCAGAACACGTTGCATTGCCTAAAGCGGAGCTGAAAAGAGAGGGAGGAGAGAGGAGGCTGACGCAGAAGAATTGTTAGTGCGTTAGTCGAATTTGTAGCCAGTTGGTATTTATGCATTTCATTTTGAGTTTTGATCAACAGACAACTGAAATCACAACAACCGTGCTTTGTGTTTCAATAATAAGACTTTAGGCTATAGAAAAACGATTGCATTAAATACATTTCGAAATTTTTGGGTTTTAAAGCACCAACTTGTGTTCCCTGGAAGACCGGGTGAAGTTTTTGTTGGTAAATGCAAACTATCGGCTTTAACTCCAGCGAAAAGACAAATATTGATTAATTTAATAAGCTTTCTATTAAAATTGATCTTAAAGCCGATCGGATGACTATTTTACACTTATCTGTTTAAACTTAAACTCTCACGTTTCACACAAGTTGTAGGACAAGATCACATATTTACCAAAATCTTGTGGATCTTGGATCTTAAAAACTCAGTTAAAAGTCGATTGAATAAATAACCAATTATTATCCCTCGCATGGTTTCCATGTATATTTCACTTATGTGGATGAAAAAGCTTCTAAAATGAACCATAAGATGCATCAATCTTTTCAGTTTTCATTCTGCAGTCTGTGAAATCTTACTGTCAAAGTTCAAGATTTGTACAAAATGTATCTGAATCGTTTTTTATTGTTTTAAACTGCTGTTATCTAGTGAATGAGAACTTTAACATTGCTTATTATTTCTAAGTTATTTAATTTGATTTATTTTGTATACACTTCCTTGAAGCTCTTTTGCTCAATCATTTCAACATTGATTTATTTGACCTTTGCTTGGAAGCAAAAGTGCAACTACTCGAGAGTTTCCATTCAATATTGCAATTCGCTTCCTATGCTCCCTGTAAATTTTCCCGTACTCATGCCTTCGCATCAATTTCTTGGACAGCTCCTCCTACTTCATCTAAGTACCTTCTACCTAATAGCAAACATATTTGAGTACTTTTCGTTCAGCCTCCTGCAGTCCCTGTCCCTGGGTCACGCTTCAATGAAAGCTGTTGCCCAACTTGAGCGATTTATTTGCTTTAACATAATGCAGGTCACAGCCCAGCCCCAACCTTTCCCCGGATGGCCCGCCCACCATAAAAACAAACCTAAAAGTCAATAGCGCAAAATATATAAACCCGAGCAAAACTCGTAAAAAATCATTTCTTATTTATTTGAGCTCTGAGCGCGGAATGAAATATTGTGCAGGCAATGAAATTACATTTTTCCTGTTTTTTTTTTTCTTTTTGTGGGCGTCATTAGCGGTGCAGATGCTGTGGCTTCGAAGGGGGCTTAGAAAACAAGGGGAGTGTAGCAGATTCCGCCTGTCGATGCAGCGTAAATATTTGCACAAATCTAATGAGCACTTGAGGGTTGCGGTTTGAGGACGTGAAGTGTGTGAGAACCTAACGATAACGCTTGAAAAGGTTCAGGAAAAAAAAAACAACAAAAAAAAAGGAAAGAGAAGTGAAGCAAGAGTATACCTCATGATATATCTCGTTTTTCAATACATTGAAGTATTTCGATGAAATTCTCTTTGGATAAAAAAAGTATATAACTCTGCGGAACTAGATTAGCATTAAGCAATTGTTTTTATCTTAAAATATATATCTTATAATCTACAACATCTGTAATAATATGTGAGGTGAGAACTATCAATTCTCTCTGTTGCTGATCCACGTTGGCATATTCTTCAGACTCGATTTAAATAATCGATATTTATCGGTAATGAGCAAATGTAAATCTTAAAAACATGATTCTTTTATGGAATACGAAAATCGATATAACGAATTTAAGGCGTGTTGCCTCTAAGATCGGCTTACTTTACTATATACAACTTCGATATACCCTCTCTACCAATTTCTTATCGCTAAAGGGCATACCAAAAGGGAAAGAAGCAGAAGACGACAGACACAGAAATACGAGTATCTTTTATACATTTACAGTACCAGTTCCCCAGTACCCGCCTTCTACACCGGTTCTGATAAGAAACTTGAGTACTTTGGTTCAGTACCATGGCCCCGCCCACACTTCGGCCCGCTTGCCCTTTAGGCCAGAGGCCAAGTCATGTTGGCTTGCTGCGCATTGTTCCATTGGTAATATGAAGAAGCTTTTCTTCTCCCCTCGTGGCCCCATTCTGTTTCATGCTATCCACCCTATTGCACATGTGTGTTTTCCTTTCGGGCCATGGCCATTGTGTATGGCAGTTGTGTGTTGCCCCTGGCCCACCGTATCCATAATCTTAGTTATGAGCATTCTGCTTGTTATCCTTCGTCTGGTTCTCCCTGCTGCTGCTATTGCCACTGTTTCCCTAGGACTCCCGCAGAGACTTTCCGGCCAAAGAAAGTGAACCTGTCAACTTTGTGATGCAGGCTACTCCACACTTGCAGGTGCAGAATAGATAATTAACATACAGCAAAGTAATTACATATTATAATTAATAAAAAGTTTGGGGTGCTTTAATTGAGCTTTAAGTTTGGCTTTTAGTTGGACTTTTTAATAGCAATTATCTATCAAAGATTGAAATTAATTTTGTTGGAAGTATAAAAAAAGTAATCGATAAATATCTAAAGGCTGATGCTAGCTAGTCTGACAGGGTTTCAAAGCCAGTAAGCTCAATAGAATTTGGCCATCCAATAAAATTTAAAAACCTGATATGTAATCGATAAATGACTAAAGCAAATGGCAGCCAAATAATTGTCAGTGTTGTATAACAATTAAGTTTGACAAAGTTTTTTTTTAAGTACAATAGTTCGGGATCATTCGAGAGAGAAACAACTTGTCTTTTAACCCATTTCCCTGTACTATCCATAGCCTTTGGCGCTGGAATATTGCATTTCACAGTCGCAGCGGCGACTCGGCTTTACTGACATCCTTTTCTGGAGTCCTTTCGCTTTGGGCTTGTTATTTCTGACCACTGGCATTTCATTATGTCTGTTGATACATTGCCAGTTTACGTGTTTTTTTTTTATCGCATTCCGCTGCCTCATCATTGCCTGCATTATTCTCGCCTGATTAAGTTTTAAACTTCGGGGCAGGGTTTTTGAGACGTTTTCTCACGCGCACACACGCAAGTTTCTCCATTCTCCAGCTCCTTTTCTGGCCCTAATTGCATATTTTGGCCTTAAACGTTGCGGTTATTATGTGCCGAGTTTTTTGTTGTTGTCTTTGATGCCGAACCTATTAATTGTGTAATTTGATTTGGTGTTGGTCGAATCAATTTCAAAGGGCCATTTAAACTGGCCAATTCACGCTAATTCACCGATGCGTTTCTGTCACTTAGGCCAATGTTCTTTGGGGCCTTTGTTTTCCTATTGAGGCCCGACTTAAGCCACCAACACGTACAAAATCAAAATAAAATTGGCCATGCGAATCCGGTTAAGATATTCGAGTGGCCACAGCTTATGGCTTCCTTTTGGGTGCCTCAAGATTAATCCTAATGATAGTTATGAATTTGTTCGCAGATGTTTGTGGCAGTTAATACGCAGCAATTTGTTGAGCCTAAGCTTGCTGTTACCCTAAATTGGCAAAGCGCTCAAGATTGTTATTAATAAATTACCCTAAATATGTATATGTATATCTATATTGTTTCGTTTAAATTTCTCTTTAACATTTCTCACCATTTATGTATGAATACATTGATCCCGTTTTTCACCAGCTATTAGCGCTTGGATTTAAGGGCGAGAAAGAGAAAGAGGCAGAGTATTGTATATAAAAAGCAAAAATACAAATTATTTAATATTTACTACTAAAGCAAAGCTATGCTAAGTCCAACTATAATAAAAATTTCGAAGATTTGAATGCTTAGCGTTCTAATTTAATTTCATAAATGGTTTCAATTTAAGATCATAAGGGGTTCGCTTTTGTAAATTGTCTATCATTAAGAATACATATTTCATTTTAATTTATCAGTATATTTTTAAACACCCATATTTCATTTGATTGAAGTCTCATTTGAATAAAGCCGCCGTCTTTCATATGCTTACAACTTTTAAAGGGCTTCGCCCCCGTTGAGTACATAGCCCAAAACGATCCTTGGGACCAAAAGCCCAACACTTCAGCTGCCCACACAGCGGCATAACTTATTGAATTTCCCGCCTAATTTACTTGGCTTATATATATGCTATATATATATTGTGTGTGTGTATATGTGAATGTACAGAGACTTGTATTCATAAGCGAGCATTTTGTGCGCTTAAGCACATTGCGTATACGTAATGTAATTTATAACTGCCAGCACACAGCCACACACGCCCACACACATACACACACGCACGGGCGCGTACATGAAGAGGCCGGGAAACTTTTTGAAAACCCCTCAAACATTTGAAATGAATGGGCGCCTCTTGAGGCCCCCTTGCTTCAAGCATTTTAGCCCGGTCCCTGCCTGGGGGTAGCTTATTAGTCTTATGTTATTTCTGTTGTTGTTGTTGACGTTGCGGTTCGCGGCTCAAATTCAATTTCGAGTTGTTGTTACCGAAAAACTTTTCGCTCTGTGTTTGAGCAGATGACAAGAACTCAGAGAAATATGGGCACAGAATACGCAGTTCGCATTTCATGTATTTGACTTTTAATAAAACCAACTTTCGACAAGTCGCGATTCATAACCCAACTTTTCAAATATGATCCGGTTCTGCATGGTAAACACTTATTAAGTGCCTGCGAACATGGTCACCGGCATGAAGCCGCCAACAATTCCATTCCCATGCCCGGCATAAGCCACAGTGGCATTCCTTCCTGCCTCCCAAGCTCCTTGGCCCCTATACAAGTCAGGCTCAGAATAAAAACTGGTTTTACAGCATTTCTTTTTTTTTTATTTTTTGTTGGTTGAGCCACTTGATATGGCAGAACGTGTCGAAAAGAAGACTCACCAACAGAAGCAATACAAGCAACCAAAAGGTTTTAACGACTGTGCGAATTTGTGATGCTCTTTAGAAAATTCAGACTGCTCAGAACTTTAAATAAATTGCGCTATATTGCAAGCAAACCATTTTATTAGATTATATTTTGTTCGATAATGTCCAATTTTATTTCCATTATATTTAGTTTAACAATTTTGTAATTTTAGGTGTAATTTGTGAGTGTTGTATAATGCAAACATGATGTTTAAAAAAATTGATATACATATATATTGATATATAGATTACACACAACTTTGCACTTCATATAAAATGGAATCTCATCCAAATACGAACTCAAGTTGCGACAATCCGAATTTCAGCTTCTCTGCACTCCCTCTTTCAGGTGCCCTTCGTCTTTAGTAGCAAAACATTTTTCAGTATTCGGTTTCAGTTTCATACCCTTGAATATTAAATGCATATTGGCGCGGCGCGCCGCTGCCCAGTCCCTGAACAAATATAACTCGGAACGAACACTCCACGAACAACAGCAAAAACGAAAACAAGAACAAACTTTGGACCAACTCATGTTGGCGTCTGTGATTTTTGGCGGAATATTAAAAAAATAAATAAACGCATAAAAAATAAATGAGTACTCAATGTGCTGACTGACCAAAGCTGAAGTACCCTCAAAATACGCATGGTAAATGCATTTCAGTCTTAACTGATCGGAATTGCATGATGTTGTATTTTATTTTGCTTCCGATATTTCCACATTTGCATTGTTAACGTACGAGTAAATAAAGTGGCCTTCATGAGTTTATTCAGTAAGAATTGTAACTTCTGAAAACGTGTTTATCAATTAATTGATTTAATGCAGCCATGAACTATGCAGCCGATCGTATAGTTTCATAATATGCATTGGCAGAGCCCTTATGTACTATCTAATTGGAATGACAAAAATAATAGAAGAAACCGAGTTTAGGCTAAAATAAAAAAAAACAATTACAAGAATAATTATTGAATAGCTTCTGTGCTCCAAGGCATCAGGGCAGAAGATTTAAATTAAATTTACTTTTAACTCTCACTGTTATGTGGAATATACAATGATGGAAACGTGTTATATCTAGGTTAGCTGAATTGATGTAAAGAAGCTGCCTTGACTGAGAGGTTAACACTGCCCCGGTACTTTCCCCCTGTTGTAGACAATTGTGCAACCTTATTAACCCATTTACATCGTGTCCTGTACAAAAATATTGTTACATATATTTGCACTGTATACCCTATAAAATATAAAAGTATTTATATTTATTCACCTTAAAATGCATTAATCTAGTTACAAACACTTAACAACACTTTTCCCCTGTTACACTTATTTGTACAACCTCAATTCATCGAATATTAAACACATTCGGTCTAGTTAAAAACATTTAACCACACTGTTCTGTTTCACATATTTTTACAACTTCTACTGTTTTATCCACTTACATTCGGCACTGTAAACCCTGTTAAAAATAATTAAAGGCATTGATAGTCATTCGCCCACATTCGACTAGTTACAGCCATTTTACAACACTGTCGATTGCTGAACACTGAAAGGTATTTTACTTATATAAGTGCCATAAAAGCGGCAGCCCCGCGCGCACATAATTTAAATTTACATTTTGCAAACATAAACATAATTTTTAATTGCACACAGCGGACGCGTTCAGCTGCAAGGATAATCGAATGCTAGACGTGCAGCTTTTTGCTGGCAATAATTGCGCATACGCCACGTGTTTCGCACCCCATTTTTTTGTTTTGTACATTTGAAATAATTGCCAGCGTCGTTTGCAGGATAATTAGACACAAAACTTGCACAAACACACACTCCCGCACACAGACACACACACACACACACACACACACACACACACACAAATACAACTGTCATGCATTTGACATTTGTATTTAACTGTTAACTGGTTGCGGTTCTGCTCGACAGGCGTCGCCACATTAGAGAACGAACGTAAAATGTTTTAGCTGCGAGCATTTCATTTAAATTTTACATGAGCCACAACCACAACAAAACACACATACACACACACACACAAACAAAGAAACAAACAGACACACACACACAGATTCAAGTGTGTCGCCAATTTTGGCCGAGATTGTGACCCAAAAATGTAATTACTTCTTCTTTTTGTATCTGTTCCCACATCGTCCAGACGCCATTTGTCACCGCATGGCACTAAAAAATTAAACTTTGCCAATTAATTTAATTCGCATGCTGTTTAATTTTGTCTTTAAGCACACTTCTGCGGCGCAAATGTTTGCCGTGTGCCAACAGAAACTTCAGTCGGATGAAATATTTTAGACATGCGAGTCATAACTTAACTGGAACTTAAAACAAGGTGCGGAAAATTAAGTTTATGGTTTTTGATATGTGCCTGTTGGGAGTGAGAGGGAACTCTAATGCATAACCTTAAGCCACTTATGCATATCATTATGCGCAACCTGGGTGTGGGTATATTATTAAGTATACGACTTTTAAATCTGCGAACATGCGAAATTGTTATATGCACATGTTTCCCTCTTTAATCCACGTGTTAAGTACTATTTCCGGGTGGGTCTGTTTCAAAAATTTTATTATATCCCCGTATTTTTTTTTATTTTTATATATATACCAATGGAAATTGGTGTAAAGCTTGTTGAAACCAGTTGAGCTTTACGAAAATATTGCGAAGTCCCCTGACCTTTAATATGGCAACAAAATCTTTTAAGCCTTGAGACTCTTGTTAAGAAACTTTGGCAGACACAAGTGAATTCTGTTTCATACTACCTTTTAAGTAACTTTGATTAGCTTAACGTTGGTTGGTCCAGCTTGATTAGCTAAAGGAAAGGAACGATCAAAGATATAGATATTTATATAGTTATAAGACATAGAATTAGAAAACACATATTAGTGCAGACTTAAAAAAGTATGCTTAATCTGAAGAGATTAGAGCATTCTTAACCTTCTTTTCAATTACTCTTTTATCTTTGTTGACTTCTCAGTTTTCATATGCGCCCTGCAACGCTTAGCTTTATACTTTTTGAAATTTTTGTTGCGAATCTTTTAACCTACTTTCCTTTTTGCTTGCTTTCAATCTCAATCTCGTTCATTTTCTTTTCTGCACATGCACGTGACCCCAGGGCCCATTCATAGGGCGAAAGTAAATTGCAAACTTTATCAGATTTTTTGCGCTTCTTCTTCTTGTTCCTGCACGTTTCCGTTTTCATTATGTCAAATTTCATGACAAAGATTACGACTTTGGGCAATATATGGCATATAATACGTGCATGATGATATTGTTACGCACTGACATTAATCATTTCTTTAGCTTGTCGCTCAGCTTTATAATTTCGGCAAGGCTTTATAACGCACACACCCCATTATCTTTCTCTTTCTCTCTCTCTCGCTGAGTGTATGTGTGTGTATGCAGCTACGATTTTTCATACGAAATGATGTCATTAAACAAAGAGCTGTAACGAACCGACGACAATAATGAGCTGGAGCTGCACGGAAACCGACGCATCGGTGCAGGACGAGCAAAGCCAACAAAAGGGGCAGCAACAGGAGGTGGCCCAAAAATGTGCGACAAAATCCCAAAACAATTTATATGAACCAAGCGAAACGACACGCTAGCAACAACAGGGCCGACGATTTGGACCAGACAAAAGTGACATAAACTTTGTTATACGTACAAATAATGAAGCAACAGTGAAGTTGTTGTTTTAAAACATAAAAATTCAGACAGACTCACACCCATAGCGAGGGTTGACAAAGGTGAAGGGCAGTAAATATATTCTATATTCAAAACTTTTATGAGTTCTCTAAAATGTATACTTTAGTTGCCTTATGGAATGA